TACACCAGTAATCCCGTTTAACCCCTTGATCCCCCCCCCCCCAGTTAACCCCTGCACTGCCCTGTCACCAGTGTCACTGATCAGTGAACCAATTTTTACTGATCACCGTATCAGTGTCGCTGGCGACTTCCGATAGAGTTAGCGCCCCTCCCCAGATAGCGCCAGTACACCAGTAATCCCGTTTAACCCCTTGATCGCCCCCCCAGTTAACCCCTTCACTGCCCTGTCACCAGTGTCACTGATCAGTGAACCAATTTTTACTGATCACTGCATCAGTGTCGCTGGCGACTTCCGATAGTGTTAGCGCCCCTCCCAGATAGCGCCAGATTGCCCGCTAGTACACCAGTAATCCCATTTAACCCCTTGATCGCCCCCCCCCCCCCCAGTTAACCCCTTCACTGCCCTGTCACCAGTGTCACTGATCAGTGAACCAATTTTTACTGATCACTGTATCAGTGTCGCTGGCGACTTCCGATAGTGTTAGCGCCCCTCCCAGATAGGGCCAGTTTGCCCGCCAGCACACCAGTAATCCCATTTAACCCCTTGATCGCCCCCCCCCCCCCCAGTTAACCCCTTCACTGTCCTGTCACCAGTGTCACTGATCAGTGAACCAATTTTTACTGATCACTGCATCAGTGTCGCTGGCGACTTCCGATAGTGTTAGCGCCCCTCCCAGATAGCGCCAGATTGCCCGCCAGTACACCAGTAATCCCGTTTAAACCCCTTGATCACCCCCCCAGTTAACCCCTTCACTGCCCTGTCACCAGTGTCATTGATTACAGTGAACAGATTTTTACTGATCACTGTATTAGTGTCACTGGTGACTTCTGATAGAGTTAGCGCCCCTCCTAGATAGCGCCAGTTTGCCCGCTAATGCACGGGATTTTTTTTTACCAAAAACATGTAGCAGAATACATTTTGGCTTAAATTTATGACTAACTTTGAGTTTACGATATATTTTTTATAGCTGAAAGTAGAAAATATTGTTTTTTTTCAAAATTTTCGTGGTTTTTTTGTTTATAGCGCAAAAAATAAAAAGCGCACAGGTGATCAAATACCACCAAAAGAAAGCTCTATTTGTGTGAAAAAAAGGACGTAAATTTTGTTTGGGTACAGCATTGCATGACCGCGCAATTATCATTTGAATTAGTGCAGCGCCAAACAGCAAAAAAAGGCCTGGTCATTAAGGGGGGTAAATCCTCTGGGGCTCAAGTGGTTAAAAAACAAAACTTCCAGTATATATACCGCCATTTGTAGATGCTATGACTTTCACATAAATCAATTAATTTACACTTATTAGGATTTTTTTTTTTTTTTAGCAAAGGCATATAACAGAATACATTGTCGCCTAAGTTTATGAAGACATTTTATTTTTAAAATTTTTATACTGGATATGTTTTTATAGCAAAAAGTCAAAAATATTGTTTTATTTTCAAAATTGCCTGTCTTATTTGTTTATAGTGCAAAAAAAAATAAAAATACAGAGGTGATCAAATACCATGAAAAGAAAGCTCTATTTGTGGGAAAAAATGACATAAATTTAATTTATGTACAGCATTGCATGACCAAGCAATTGTCATTTAATGTAACACAGCGCTGCATCGCAAAAAATGGCCTGGTCAGGAAGGGGGTAAATTCTCTGGAGGGCAAGTGGTTAATGACCATGTGGTCCTCCCCACATACTGGAGACCACATGAACAACGGCAAAGGTAAATCGCCCCTTTCGTGTGACAGGTTATAAAATCATGAATGGCATAGTTTTTGGAAGTGACACTTGAAAGTGAAGGAAGAAGTACAAAGGGTTTGTGCATTCCTACATATTTTGCAATTCATGCATGGATAGAAAACAATAAGGTTCTCAAACATCTTGTTTTTTTGGGAGGTTGTACTTCTCAAAAATTGGGCGTGCAGGAAGCACTGGACCTAAAACACTGTCTTTTTTTAGAATGTTCCAGTGTTTTCTCAAGACACTATTGACCCAAGGTTGGTGGGTTGAAAAGATCAAAAAGTTCATAAGCGAAGCCCATTCTAATTTATTGGTTGTCAAAACTTTCTCTTTGTAGGATAAAAGAGAATCACGGTCAAGTGCTAAAATCGTTTGAAAATCTTGTTCTAAAACATCTGAATAGTAAACCTTTTCCAGAAACCTCTGTTTCAGGACACCTGCTTGTACAGAAAAAAATTAGTTTGGAACAATTTTGTTGAATACGCTGAAATTATCCCTTAGGAATGGGTTTAACCACATGGGATGACAACTTCTCACATGTATGAAGCCATTTCAATCTGTGCCTTAAAATACATTTTATTAAGTAATTATGTTCTCAATAAATGGTCAAATCAAGAAAATTAAAATTAGTACTGCTCCATTCATACCAAAAACTATTACCCCAGGTATTAGAATTTAAATGGGACATAAATGCATGTGACGAGTGCACATCCCCCCTGCACAAAAAAAAGGCTTGTGAGTTTGACTCGAACATCGGCCATTCATGTGTATAAAAGAGAATATCAGCGAACGCTACTTCTAGATATAGGCGCTGGAACACCAAAGGTAACCAAAAAAAACCTTCAAATGCAAATACTGATAAAAAAGGTGCAGCGCTAAAACATATGCATATTAAAGTGCAAAGTGATCAGTGCATACTTAATCATCCAAGATAGTCTAAAAGAACATATGCATAAAAAATATATAGAGAAATAATATGCTCCGTGAAATGTATCACCATCAGGTGATAATACATGGTGATAAATGTCCCAAAAAGAGATGTGAGGATCCTTTCAAGATCACAATATCAGTGTGTGGGTAATAAATCCAAGGGTGCCAGATGCCCTTATTAGATAAGCAAAATGCGCATTCACCAGAAGTGCGCTATAAAGACACATTTGAGATATTATCCTGTCTCAGGTATGCTCAGGTCATCTGTCATGGATTCAGCTAGGTCCACATAACACAGGATCTTTAGGCAGATGTCACAGCGTCTGGTCACGTCTGTGTAAGGTTCTCTGGGGTCCCTTAGTATGTATCACTGCGTTTGGTCATCACTAAAGAGGGCTCTGCAAATGACGGCGCTCACAAGGAGAGCCCAATGAAGGACACCACATAGTGTGATACTGCATTAAGGGGTAGTTTATTCCACAGATATCAAGTAACATAAACAAAGGAAAGAAAATACACTGACCATTAAAGTTCAGGATGGCCACCAGCGGTGGAGTAACATCTCAGTTGCTGTAGCCCCCCACCCTGACCACAGGTCAGGTGCAATGCTTTGGCCAATCACAGCACAATTGGGCTGAGCTAACAGTGATGTCACAGCTAGCTCCGCCCAATTATTTACATCTGACCAGTAAATTTCAGATAGTGTCGAGTTCTCACTGATGCAGACAGGTCAGCGGGTTTTCTTATTTCAGTGAGTCGGCGGCAGTGTGAAAACTCTGGATGCCATGATTGATGATGGATGGAAACAATTTTTTTTTTAAAAAAGGACTTGTCAAAAACTGCGGTGTTTTTATTCCAAGGGCCTGGGATCTGGGGGTCCCCCTTGTCAAAGATGGCTTCCAGATTCCAATAAGTCACTCCCTGCACAACCACAACACAGGGTTGTGGGGAAGAGGCCTTTGTCCCCATCAACACGGGGACAAGGTGCTTTGGGGGGTAGCCCCCTTAGCCCAAAACACCCCCATGTTGAGGACATGTGGCCTGGTACAGTTCAGGAGGGGGGGGCGCTTGTTCACCCTCCCCACCTTTTCTGACCTGCCAGGCTTGTGCTCGCATCAAGGGTATGGTAGAAAGTTAGGGGGATCCCACGTTTTTCCATTTTTTTGGGGTAGGGGTTCCCCTTAAAAGTCCTACCAGGCCTAAAGGACCTGGTTTGGCTTTTAGGGAGAATCCCACACACTTTAAAAATAAAAATCTGTGGGGGTCCCTCCTAACCTTTCCTACCAGACCTAAAGGGTTTGGTATGGTACTACCGACTGCAAACCGAACAGTGGGGTGTTCGTCCCATCACTATTGACACATATGGCTTCATATTCCTATAATGCCATGAACAGGTTGGGAACAATTATTAGTATTGCTTTCCAAACCCTCCGGCCATTTATAAATACAATTAGATCCCTAGGGATAACATCATCATGCCTAAGGAAGGTGGCAGTATCCCTAATAGAGATTTTTTAGGGCATGCCCCTCAGTCTAGACAGCCTCCTAGACCTCAGACTGTCATCATGGGGGGCAGAGGTGATAGACCCTTTTTGGGGAGAACCAGAGTTATGGGTATGATGGATGGGATGGAATCATCATTATCCACCTACCCCCTCTACTAGTAGACCAAGGGTTTTTTTTACCATTCCCTTTTCAGAACGGATTGGGTTGATTACATGGGGGATGGGGGAGGGAGGGAATGGTGGCCCATCTGTATGTCCTAGGACCACGCATGTCCCTCTGAAAAATTGGTTTGAACCATTGTATTATTATCAAGAAGAGAAAGATGGGGTTTATTATGATGGGTACCAGATGCAATACCAATCACAGGCTGGTAGACCCAAGATGATGGCACCATTAAAATATAATTTTTTTTAGGCAAAGGAATGAGAAAAGCAACAAAGCAAGAGGGTATAGAGGAGGAAGGAGGAAACACCCCACGAAACAAAAAGAGATAACATGTGAAGGTTTATTCAACCTAAGTGGGGTGGATCTCACTGATCCAGAAAATAAAGTTCTTAGTAAAGGTCCTAAATTTGCACCAGCTAGGTCTCTGGACAAATTTGAAACTTTTATTGACATTCAAAAGTTCATAAGAAAATTAAGCGTCAAAATACATTTTTTTGTCTAACTCCATTGTGAGAGGTCAAGCCCAGCCCCTGAAAAACAATCTCACACTATAATCCCCCCCTCCACCAAACTTTACACTTGGCACAATGGGTTTGGTAGTTGCCAGGAGAACAGTACTTGCCTGACTGCAGACATGTCCATCGGGTTACCAGACAGAGAAACGTGATTGGTCACTCCAGAGAACACTTCTCCACTGCTCTAGAGTCCAGTGGTGGCATGCTTTACACCAGTGCATCCGATGCTTTGCAGTGTACTTGGTGATGTAAGGCTTGGATGCAGCTGCTCGACCATGGAAACTCATTCCATGAAGCTCTCTATGTACTCTTGTTGTGCTAATATGAAGTCCACACGAACTTCTGTGCACTTTGCGACTCAACATGCGATGACCCCACTCTGTCATTTTAAGTGGCCTACCACTTCATCTATTAGTTGCTGTTGTTCCCAGTTTCTTCCACTTTGTTATAATACCACTAACAGTTGATTGTGGAATAATTTAGTAGCAAGGAAATTTCATGGATGGACTTATTGCACAGGTGGCAACCTATCACAGTACCATGCTTGAATTCACTGAGCTCCGGAGAGTGACTCATTCTTTCACAAATGTTTGTAGAACCAGTCTGCATGCCTAGGTGCTTATACACCTGTGGCCATGGAGGTGATTGGAACACCTGAATGTAATGATTTGAAGGGGTGTCCCAATACTTCTGGCAATATAGTATATTGTACATAGCATTTCTTCTAAGCCTGGATGGTGGATATGGTTATTTTTGGTATACCCATTATATATGCTATTTCATTAAGAAAGCAGATTTTGTAATTTTTACTCTGTCAAACACAGCATGAAGGGATCACGATATTTTATAAAACTTGTTAAACTTAAATTGTATACACCTGTGGCTATGGAAGTGTTTGGAGCACCTGAATCCAATGATTTGGAGGCGTGTCCCAATATTTTGGCAATATAGTGTATGTGTATATATATAATGCATCGATTTTGATGATTGGATTACATTTGCAGCATTCTGTAAGTTTTCAAAGTAATAGCTGGTTATCACCAGCACAATTAACGACAAAGAGCTTTTTTATTTTCATTCTGTCCCATGTTTGCTTAAAGTATTGCACCAATGATTAATTTACTATTTTCCAATAGGGAATTAAGGTGTGCATATCAGCTAATTCAATCCTATTTTGGTTTTATTTTATTTTTTTATAAAATGACATTTATGATGTCTATAACTGAATTAGCTCACCATCACTGCGCCAAGACTAGTATGTAGCCTGTTAGTCTGCATAAAGCTGCTTCCAAGACAGGAGTTTAGCTCTTTGACTATTTTTCTTTGCATAAAGACCATACAGTACAGTTTAGCAAATAAAGCCAAGCTATTTTTTTTTTTTTTTTTTTTTAATACCTAACTACAGCCTCTGTATTATATTATAACATTTATTTCAAAGGTTTTTACACTATGTCACCCCTTTTAATTAATATTTATTACATGGGAAAAATATGTAAATCGTTTCCCAAGGGTATTTTTCTTCAATAGAACAGGCACATTGTCCTCCAAAGTTCAAAATGCACCATGCTGATTTTTGTCGATTTAAGCATATATTCTTTGCAGTTGTAATGTATTGAAACCTAAAGGATTCATGGAAATTGCTTTTAAAGCATGCAGGAAAGACGGATGTTAGAAATAGTTACTTAGAACAGGAAAGGGAGAAATAAAAAAAATGGTAAGTTTAAAAGCATTTAGAGATTATAAATTATAAATGTGATCCCTTATAATGTAATTTAGGTCTGTGAATGTGGGTTTCAATAGATCTGGCAACTGTTTCAGCTACCAGAAAGTCAGAGAATAAACTTGTACTGTTCTGTGGTAAATCCTATTTAGTTAATTTTTGGAAGGTACCTGGCTAGTGATTTGGTAGAGAAGAGGTTCTGATTTGCTCTACCAGGCAGTAATTCATTGCCCACTGAGCATACGCATAAAAATGGGCTTTATATACATGAAGTGCACTAACAAGAAATGTTATTATTGCCCATACCAACCTGTAAGGAGGGGTTACCCTAGCCACCTTAATATCAGACTCTTACCATCTTTATGGACTGTTAGGGTACTATTCACCATAGTTATGGAAATGCACTGATTCCACTGTTGTGGACTGTTTTCATTTATTGTAAGTAAATATAGTGCAACAAGCAGCCTCCATGTGGTGTAATGTAAAAATGACAAAAATTGTGAATGTTTGGGAATGGAGCATCTTTAATCCCTTCCCGTCTATGGGTAAAACAAATGTTAATTCCTAAGCACAATATTGCGCCTTTGACATGTATTAGTAAAACTGCACATATCATCACATCTACTTTGTGCATCCAGGTGGATTAAACCTTGGTTTTTTTTTTTTTCAGAACAAATTGGACTTTCAAATGGCTTTTTGGTGGTATATGGTAATGGATATCTCCTGTTTTTTTATTATAAAAAAGAGAAACTGGCCCAAAAAATGTAGTTGTATATTTCTTGCTACTACCATAACATACCACCATAGAACAACCAAAATAAATTTTCCTGCTCCCAACATTTAGCAGTGATACCACTTATGTGTATGTTAGTTGTTTGTACACATAATACAGTCCAGAAACAATGGTACATATTTTGCTTTTTTTATCCTACTTAAAACACACTGACACTAACTGCCTGATACTAATTAAAAAATGTTTTGTTTTTTTAATCCTGCCCAAAATATACAGACTATGACCTTTGACTATAATCTTTGACCCTTACTTGACCCAAACACTAACCCTGGCACTGCCCTAGCTCAAACCTTGATCTAGGTATTTTTTTATTTCCTTATATTTTATTTAAAAAAATTTTATTTATATATATATATATATATATATATATATTTTTTTTTTAACACAGTTTATTTTTTTTTTATCTCTGCAAGGGAGAGAGAGAGAGAGAGAGAGAGATTTCCTCCGTCCAGAGAGAGATAAAACACAGGGGTGAGCTTCACAGTGACTGATCACTGTGATAGCCAATCGGAACCTATCACAGCGCTCAGGTGACTCAGAACTGGGAGGTCCAGGTCCTAATCATTAGTGGAGGACTTGGGGCTCCCAGTGAGACCTCAGTCTCTGTGCTGGGACACGCCGTGCGTTGCATATATGCGCCCATGGGAAAAGCGCAGTCCAGGGTGGCCACATTTATGCGTACTGTCATCAGGAAAGGGTTAAGTAACTGGTGAAAAACTATAAGATCAGAGAGTGCAGCGCTATAAAATGATAATAATAATAAAATATGTTCAGTGTCAAATAAATGTGTTTAAAATGATAAATCTTTTGTGCTTATAGTCCACAGTATGCAAGAAAAAAACTTATAAGTAAAGTGCAAACATATAACTTCAATATGTGCTATGGAATAAATATATATATATATAAATAAATAGATGGATTAAAAGTCCATGTGATGGTGAAACTCTAACATCCATTAAATGGTATTGCTACGTGAAGATCTGTGTTCAGGTGGTCACAAATACATTCCATGTGCCAATATATATTCGGTGAAGTGTTGGGGATATAATAAAAATGCACACTCACCATATGCACATTTTAAATACGCAATTTGTATAAATGTTGTAATCTGCCAGAGGTCCCCTTTAAGGTGGAATAGATATGTAGCCTGGAAAGGAATCTCCCTCCTCTGGATCCCGAGCTGCTCTGCAGCAGTTCTTCACACAGGGCTCTGAAATTTATAAACTGCAGTAAAGTCAAAGGCACATCATAAAAGGACAGCTTGGTCAAAACCACGCTACTTGACTGTCAGCAATTGGGAGTGTAGATATTTAGTAGGTGAACACGTTTCGAGGACTTGCCTCTTCCTCAGAGCCCTTATGTTATTGAATTTTTTTTGGTTCCTTTTTTAGTGCATTAGTGGCTGATTTTAAGCGCTCGCTGATTTCTTTTATTTTATTCAACTGGTGAAAACCTGATCATCTTAGATACTGGTAGTGATTAGACAAAGGGAGTGCATACTCATGGATTAAATTGATTTATTGCATTCAAATTAATTCTTATCAGATTCATTTTTTGCCAGAAGGCAGTGTCATTTCAGGGCCTAGGTCAGCAAGTAAAGAGTGTGAGGCTTCAAAGGACAATTACAAATTTGTCGTTATTTTCTTTTTACTTTGCCTGGCCACCTATAGATAGACTGATTTAACAAAACAATTCCAAAAGTACTGACAGGGCCAAAAGAAAGTAACCCATATAAACCATTCAGATTAAACAGTCAGCTTCTGTCACAATACAATATATTTTCAGATGTGTTGACGTGTGGCTGCCCACAGACACAAACTAGAAGTCTTCAGAAACATACATTGAATTATTCTAAAGACAAATATTGTGAATTTTTAGAAAAGTAATTCTTATGGAAAACCAAAGTCACTAGAAAAAAATTTCTTCTTGGCAGCTTTCTAGCTTCCACATAATACATGTAACACTTGCATATAAATGCATCAGTCAGTATTTTCTGGTTCTGCTTTGTGTACCTTGCAGCCAATTTATGCAGAATTTATGCAATTCTGTAAAAACAAGAAAGTTGGTGTACACAGGTCTAGTGAGAATTGCTTAATAGCTATAAGTAGCCTTTGTCATCCAATTACTGGACTTTCAAGACTGATGCATGAACTTTATTCTGCTTTCCTGCAAAGGTATATCTGATGTTCCATACCAAACAGGGTTGACAAACATTTACTAAATAGCTACGGCACCTGTCTCCTGGTCCTGGATAGTATCCAAAAAGTCAAACAACTGCATGCATTTTAATAAGTAAAAGGGTCCAGCTTGATTTATTGTAAAGTGCAGGCCCTAAACAATAGTTACAACAGCTGTGTACATCCAGATGGTTATATAAAAGGAAGTACCTTATGGCTTTGTCATTCAGAGGTGAATCAATAATTCAATTACATTTTTGCATTTCGGATTGCAGTAAAGGTCAAATGCTCTTATCAAAACTTTGACTGACCTTTGAAATGCGATCAGATAAAGTTCTAGATGGAATGCTGTACCTTGCTGACATTAAATACTGAGAAACATATAGTGGACATTTTCCTGAATAGAATGAAGTGACTTTATTCATTTAACTTTTTCTTTCATATACTTGCTTTTCAGGGTGATGTTTCCCACAGACTTGAGAGAGCAGTCTTTTATACAGGCACAATCTAACTTGTGTAATGCTAGTCATCCATGGCAGTTTTTCTTGACAAGAGATATTCATTAGCCATTAAAAATGTCAAAATCTCTCCCCCACAAAAGGCTTTGTAAAACTGTTTAAAGTGGAATTTTAGTCAGAACATTAAGCCCTGGTAGATCGCTGCAGGATGGCCTCTTTTGCATGTATGTTACATAAAATAAGTGCATATAATGTTCAAAATCCAATAATACCCTGTCTCACCCTGGTCTGCAAATGCTCAGTTGCTCTCACTGTTCACTGTGCCAAAAAATCAGAGCCACTAAAGGCTGATCTGCTGACAGCCTAAAGATCTATTGCTGCTGGGGGGCTCTGGGCTTCAGCAAAATGGCAGCCTCCAGCAAAGATAAACAGGAGCAATGTTGGAGGCAATTTACAGCACA